GTTCATCACATCGGTTCTCTCTGAAATGCTCTACACTAAAACCCTGTTTTTAGGACCACCCCATGACCTCCAAGTGCAGGAGGTGCGTAAGGACTCTCTGGTCTTGCTCTGGAAACCGCCTGTCTACCAGGGTCGTGATCCTGTCAATGGATACTACATTGATATCAAAGAGGCTGAAGCAGACTTTGAGATGTGGAGAGGAGTCAATGAGAAAGCTACTGACAAGACATTCATGAAGGTTTGTATGCATGTAGAAATCAAGGGGCAGTGGAGTTGGCTTGTTAAGGGTTGTGACATTGGCATACCCTTGAGAAAAAAGTACTCTTTAGAAAATTCAGTTCAATTCTTTTTCAGTAAACAATATGGTGTATTTAAGAATATACTTAAGTGTGAACTGAATGCAGTGTTTTAGGACACTTAGCTGCATTGCAATTAAATGAAAATGTATTATAGTTTAAATTTATATTAAATGCATTTAGCTCAAATTTAGAGTGTTTTCTGACCCATTTAAGTAGGATTTAAGTACATCTTTATGGCCTGGTTTCATAGAGAGGTCTTAGGTTAAGCCAGGATTAGGCAATAGGTCAATTAGGACATTTAAGTAGTTTTTATAAAGGTGCCTTAGAAAAAAAAACATTACTGGTGTGCATCTTGAGACAAAACAAAGGCACTGACATATTTTATTTAAGTTGAAACAACTCAGATTTACATTTTAGTCTGGGATTAGGCTTAAGCCTTGTCTGTGAAACCGGGGGTATATGTAATTTCATAATTACTTTGGTTGTCTTTGAAATATGGTTAAAGTGTAGTGAATGTACTGACAATCATTTATAGTAAACTAAAATGTACTTTAATGTAATTGTGTAAGTGTTAATTTGTAATTTAGTACATTTAAAATACATTAACCTTAACCTTTACATGTGCTTTAGTATGTCAAAATAAGCACAACAAAAGATTATTAAAACACAATGACTCAAAATGTACTTTACAACTTTTAATTTGACATTATTATAAAGTGCATTTTTTAAAAGTGGACTTAAGTGTGTTAAGAAACAGTCATGAAAGTGTCTCTCTTTAAGTCACTCCAGGGGCCTTTTATTTCATTAATATTATATTATCTGCAAGTACTGTAAAGTTTTTTTTTATGTACTTTTAATATTTTAAGTACACTAAAAGTTCACATTTAATACAATTAAGTTCACTTCTTTTTTCACAAGGGTAGGTTTATGGTAGTAAATGTTGTTTCTGTTGTTCTAGATCAAGGATCTAAAGATGGGGGAATCGTATGTTTTCCGTGTGCGCGCTCAGAATAAGGCTGGTGTAGGAAAAGCATCAGATTCTACAGAACCGGTTGAGGCAGTGACTAAACCAGGTACTAAACTGAACTAAACCAGAATTTCTCAGATAACATATTATTGTACTAAGTAGCTATGGCACATAAACTTAAATTAATGTGAAATTAAAAATTATTGTTCCTTATCTTCATGTGTACAATTCATACTTTTGTCTTCATTATCTTTCTTCAAATAACTAAAAGAAAAAAGAAAGAAAGAAATGAGAACAGAAATTGAAATTGCAGATATGTCTTATTTTCGTACATAAAACGTTTTGAGGGAATGACGCATTTGCACAAATTGTATTTTAATGTGACCTACTTTTCCTTGCAAAAAGTGCTTGACGTAAATGGAAATATATGAGCATCACACAGTCAAAGACATTTAAATTTTTTTTTTTTGGGGGGGGGGGGGGGGGACGTCACCACTCCTTATTTTTCAACCCCTATCCTCCAAACACAGGTTGTATAGAGACTACTTTTCATGACCCAAACAATTCCTGATGGATAAAATCAGTTCTGCCATTTTTCCATTGAATATCCTGTTTCATTCTGAGAAATCGGTTATTACAGTAGTGAAAAGGATTGTAAATACGGTTGACTTTAAGTTGAGGCAGACCATGCTGAACTTGATTCAGAGTATATGTTGAACAAAACCATATGCGGCTATATCAGAGTGAACAGGAAAGAACAAAACAACACAAACACGTAATCTTAAGTGAGGAGTCTGTTTAGAGTTCTTCTTAAATTCAGGTTAACCCTAAAACAAACCAAAATCACCAAGACTTAACGACTCTCGACAAAAGCCAACAAGCTATTTCTTTCTCACAGGTACTGCTGAGATAGTTGTGAATGTTGACGATGATGGCGTCATTTCACTGAATTTTGAGTGCTCTAACCTCACCGCTGACTCCAAATTCGTCTGGTCCAAGAACTACGTGGAAATGACAGAACCTGAACGCATGACCTTAGAGACCAAGGGTAGCAAGTAAGTGCGTATGTGCTAATAATGAGCTTTGTTAAATTATTAATTATTAATATTTAAAATAATGTTTTCAAGGGTTAGTTCAACCAAAAATGAAAACTGTGTCATTACCACCCTCATGTTGTACCAAACCCATAAGACCTTTATTCTTATAAAAATGAAGGAAATAATTGAATTGAAAATAACGTGCCTCACGGGTGTTTATTGATTAGGGTTAGGGTAGGTGTAGGGAGGGCTGTATCCCAAAGCTGCATCCATTTAATAATTTTAACATTCTAATTTACGCTCAATACATTATTTTTGTAAACTAAAGCAATAAGCCCCAAGAAGCCATGGTTTACAGTGAATTTATAACCACGGCTTCACGGGGCTTATTGCTTTTATAAAACGGTTATTCCATATACGTAGTAAGGTTTCACAAAATAAAACAGAGCAAATAAAGTGTAATGATATTAATAAAAACAGTATTCTTCCGCCAAACAATGTAGTTCCTCAGAAACGGTTGTGGTTCCAAGGAAGTGGTTGCCGAGCAACACACAAATGTAAACAAAGGTGTATGTTTGTAGAGTAATTTACAACAGCTTCGAACTTGGCTCAGCCAATCCGAATCAAGGACCGGAACTATCTGTTTTATAATGTTTTATAATGTACTACAATACTGAGGTGCAGATATCTGCCACTATTTGCACTAGATAGCATCTAACTTTTATTACTGCAAAGAAAATACTCCTTACATAGTGTAAATATAATCCATTGCTATTTGCATGTAGTGTAAATAGCATCTACCTGCTGCCTTTTTAAAGTAATAGCTCACCCAAAAATTTACTCACGTTCAGGCCATTCAAGATTTAGATTAGTTTGTTTCTTCATCAGAACAGATTTGGAGAAATGTAGTATTGCATGACTTGCTCACCAATGAATGCTCTGCAGTGAATGGGTGCCGTCAGAATGAGAGTCCAAACAGCTGATAAAAACATCACAATAATCCACAAGTAATCCACACCACTCCAGTCCATCAATTCAAGTCTTGAGAAGCAAAAAGTTGCGTGCTTGTAAGAAACAAATTTGTCATTAAGATTATTTTTAACAGCAAAATTAAATTTGTAACTATTACTTTAATATTCATTTTTGTGCATCCATTGAAAGTCTAGGTAGTCAACATTTTCAAGCTTCAAAAAGTACATAAAGACATCTTAAAAGTAATCCAAATGAATCGAGCAGTTTAATCCAAGTCTTCTGAAGAGACACGGTTGTTTTATATGATGAACAGGCTTTTATTCACATATAAATATTGATAAATTCACATACAAAGAGCACATCAAATTTGGTAAATTGAGCATAACTATGGCTCAAATATGCTTGCATGACATGTGAGAACAAACCTCATTGGTTCTGCATGCACATTTGAGCTTCTGTTTGTTAATTGACTTTTTATGGATGGACAAAATCATGAGAGAATATTAAAATATCTTAATTTTTGTTTCAAAGATGAGGGTTTGAAAAGACATGAGGTTGAGTAAATCATGACAAGTGTTGGGGATAACGCATTACAAGTAACGTGAGTTATGTAATCAGATTACTTTTTTCAAGTAACTAGTAAAGTAACACATTACTTTTTAATTTACAAGAGAATATCGGAGTTACTTTTTTTTTCTAATTTATTGATTGACAGCTCTCCTGTCCCCATGTTTAGAGAAATCAGAAGATGTTACTGTAGTTCTAAAATAAATATGAATATGCATTAATTAATCTCACTCACAAAATAAAAAAACAGATTCAGTATTCCTCAAAATGAATAAAAATAATGCAACTCAGAATATGACGCAAACCTGCAATAATTAAATGTTAAAAAACACAAATATCCTTTATGTATTTAATCCCATTCTATTAACCAATGTCTTTGCTTCTGACCTTCGATGATCCAGTTCAACCATACTAATAAGCAAAAATTACTCTAGACAAACATTTGTGTGTCTTTTTTTTATTGCTGAAGTGTGTTGAAATCATCTTCTGCATTCTACAGTACGGATGTAAATTTACTTTCCCTTTTAAAAAGTAACTCAAAAGTAACGTAACACATTACTTTCCATAAAAAGTAACCAAGTAATGGAATTAGTTACTTTTTTATGGAGTAACGCAATATTGTAATGCATTACTTTTAAAAGTAACTTTCCCCAACACTGATCATGACAGACTTTGTATTTTTGGTTGAACTATCCCTTCAAACCAACTTGTATACCTTCTAATCAATCATATTTAAAAGACTCTTGGGCTGGATATTTACAAATATATATTATTTATTAAATGTAGCAAACAATTTCATCACATTTCCAGAGCTATAACTTAAAAAAAAAAAAGATTAGCATGGGATCATCTTGCAGTAATTCTTCGATACTGGTCTGTAGGTCCAAAGCCATCTTTAAAACACCTTCAGAAGAAGACCTGGGTATCTACTCTTGCTTTGTGACACACACTGATGGAGCCTCTGCCAGCTACACACTCTCTGAGGAAAGTGAGTTCATTGACCTTTTTCATTTTTGTATGTTTGAATTTACCAAGTTGACACTGGTTATTGATTCTGATCCTTTCTCTGTCCTGTTCCTCGCAGCTCTAAAAGAACTCCTGAAGATCAGCCACGACCACAAATTCCCCAGTGAGTAAACATCACATCACATGCACTCTTGAAACATTTCATTAACTTCATTTTGAATGTGTGAGCACTTGCTCAATCCTGTACGCTTTAGCATACTTGTAAGAGTACTTTTTGTGGAAATAATGCTTTATATTACTTTAAAGTAATACACTTAAAGGGATAGTTCACCCAAAAATGAAAATTATATCATTAATTACTCACCCTCATGTCATTCCAAACCCGTAAGACCTTCGTTCATCTTCGTAACACAAATTAAGATATTTTTGATGAAATCCGAGAGCTTTCTGATCCTCCCATAGACAGCAAGGGTCCAAACACGATCAAGGCATAGAAACGTAGCAGGGACATCGTTAAAATAATCCATATGACATCAGGGGTTCAACCGTAATTTTACGAAGCTATGAGAATACTTTTTATGCGCAAAGAAAACAAAAATAACGACTTTATTCAACAATTTGTCTCCTCCGCGTCACCCTATAGCGCCATTTTGGAGAGTATCACATACGTAAACAACATATGTGAGCAGCACTGTACGCGGATACACTGTTTATGTTGTTTACGCTTTGATCTGAACGTAAACAGCGTATCCGCGTACATACGTTGCATACGTTGCTTTAAAGATGATTTTCTCAATATTTAGATTTTTTTTGCACCCTTAGATTCCAGATTTTCAAATAGTTGTATCTCAGCCAAATACTATCATATCCTAACAAACCTTACATCAATGGAAAGCTTATTTATTCCACTGTAGATGTTGACTGGTTGAGTTGAAATTGACCTGTATGACTGGTTTTGTGGTCCAGGGTCACATATGATCATGGAGCTCAACTAGAGTGACCATCAGGTTCTTGGTCACCACACTAACCAAAGCCCTTCTCCATCAGTTGCTCAGTTTGAACAGATGTCCAGCTCTAGAAAGAGTCCAGGTTGTTTCAAACTTCTTCCATTAAGGGTAACAGAGACCCTTAAATGAAGCAGAATTTTTTTTTTCTGAACTCTTCCCCAGATGTGTGGCTTGACACAAACCTGTTTCTGAGCTCTACAGGCAGTTCTTTTGACCTCAGGGCTTGGTTTTTGCTTTGATATGTATTATCAGCTGTTTATTAAGGTGTGTGTGCCTTTCCAAATCATGCCCATTCAATTGAATTTGCCACAGGTTAACTTCACTCGAAGTGTAGAAACATCTACAAGCAATATGAATGCTCCTGAGCTAAATTTCAACTGTCCTCTACAGGCAGTTCTTTTGACCTCAGGGCTTGGTTTTTGCTGTGATATGCATTATCAGCTGTTAGACCTTTTATTAAGGTGTGTGTGCCTTTCCAAATTATACCCATTCAATTGAATTTGCCACAGGTTAACTTCACTTGAAGTGTAGTTACATCTACAAGCAATATGAAGCTCCTGAGCTAAATTTCAACTGTCCCAGATGAATACTTATGAAATGGAATCATTTAAGTTTTTTTATTTTTAATAAATTTGCAAAGAACCTGTTTTTTGCTTTACCATTATGGTGTATGGAGTGTAGATTGATGTGGGAAAAAAGTAATTTAAAGCAGTTTAACATAAGGCAGCAACTGCAAAAAAATGAAGGGGCATGAATACATTCGCAAGGCACTGTAAGTGCAGTTTTTTAATTTATTTGCACAATTAAACACTCATTTTTCACAAGAGTAGTTATATTAAATGTATTAAAATAGTGTACTAACCACTAATTGTTGTGTTCTATAAACAAAAGCAAATTAATGTGTGAAATGAAAAAACAACTCATTTCCTACATTTAAAATACAGCTCTGTGATGTAGGATTTTACAAATGAGATTGACAAGAGCGACAAAATGTTGTGCCACATGACACTTATCCTTAGTTAAGACAAAAGCTTGTTCAGCATGAAAGATGTATTGCTTGCCAGTTTATCGATTGCATCATGCCTGGTTACGACATTGCGTTTCAACACAAAAACAGAGCATACGTATCAAGGTTCAGTACAACTCCCATCCTGCCTTAGGTCTCCAAAACAATGGATATTATTCAGGACAGAATGAATGTTTTCAAAACTTTTTCACCCCTCCTCTCCAGTCATCCCTCTGAAGACAGAGCTGGCCGTGGAGCTGCTGGAGAAGGGCAGAGTTCGCTTCTGGTTGCAGGCTGAGAAGATCTCTGCCAATGGAAAAGTTGAATACGTGTTCAATGACAATGTGGTCCACCAGGGAGAGGTTAGAGGAACACAGAAACAAACATGCAGCGCATGAAGCATTATACATGCCGTTGACTGGAAATAGTCCTTTGACTTGCTTCTGCATTAACACTTACTCTGTGTTGTAGAAATACAAGATGAACTTTGATAAAAATACTGGCATCATTGAGATGTTCATGGAGTCTCTGGGCAAAGAGGACGAGGGAACGTTCACTTTCCAGCTTCAAGACGGCAAAGCCACTACAGTTTCTGTCTCTTTGTTTGTCATACTTGTTTTATTGTTGTTGTTTTGTGCCTCTGTCTTCCTATTCCTTCAAGTTTTCATCTTTCTTTCTACATTATTTTCTCTTCCTGTTTTTGTCCCTGTTGTGAAAACGTTGTGCTAGTTTTAATGAATTTTGTGTTTGTTTGTGTCAATGGCAGATCTCCAAAAAAGATGCTGGTATATATGAAGTAGTTCTGAAGGATGACCGAGGCAAAGACACCTCCACCCTCAACCTCACAGACCAAGGTAACATAGCAGAAAAGGGATTCAAAAGTACTGTTACTATTATAAAACTCACTCCTTACACTAATGTGCACTAGTTTGTGCTGTACACTCTAAAAAAATGCTGGGTTAAATACAACCCAGTGCTGGGTAAAATATGGACAAACCCAGCAATCTCGTTGTTTTGACCCAGCGGTTGGGTTACTACCCAGAAAGTTGGGTTAAACATTTAACCCAACCGCTGGGTCAAAACAACCCAATTGCTGGGTTTGTCCATATTTTACCCAGCAGCACTGGGTTGTATTTAACCCAGCATTTTTTTAGAGTGTAATTTTAATGCCATGCTATATATTTTACTTATAAATTGTCCCTTAACACTTGTACTCTCAGCTCCAGTAAAACATCTGATCATATTTAAATCCATTCCACAGATTTCCTACAACAATCGCTACATAAATATATGTCTCATCATAATTGATCTTTTAAAAATGATTTCTATCATCTGTTTTTCAGGATTCAAAGACCTGATGAACCAGGTTTTCAGTGTTATTGGTAAGATTTACAACATCATTTTCAAACCAAAATTAGTTGTAAATTGTGACCCTGGACCACAAAATCAAAATCAGTCATAAGGGTAAAGGTCACAATTAATCTTCACACTCACAGTATATCTTTACATTTAAACATAGTTTTAGCAGCATGTGAGCGATGTTGACGTTCTTTCTGTCCAGCGAACTCCTCCACTCCACTGAAGATCCAGAGCACAGAGGAGGGGATCAGGCTTTACACCTTCGTCAGCTACTACAACGATGAGCTGCATGTCACCTGGCATCACAAGTAAGAGCATGTGACTGTGTTTAAAGGGACAGTTCACCAAAATGACAATTTAACTCATCAGAAAGAAACTCATACAGGTTTGGAACAGACTGAGGGTGAGTAAATGAATAAATTTTTGGGTGAACTGTCCCTTTAAGAAGTGTTTCTCTTAAAAGGTTAGTTCACCCAAAAATGAAAATTAGCCCATAAATTACTCACCCTCAAGGTGTATATGACTTGCTGGAGCTGCTTCCGTGTTGGACTGTTGGCGCAAGCTACATTAAAGTGATTATTACGTTTTGAATATGGATATTTTTCTTACAAAAAAACGCATCGATTCGCTACAGAAGGCCTTTGTTCACCTCCCGGAACCGTGTGAGACACTTTTTTTTTTTATGGATGGGCGCTTTTTATTTAACTTGCAATATAGATAATTTTTAATATAACTCCGACTGGATTCGTCTGAAAGAAGAAAGTCATATACACCTAGGATGCCTTGAGGGTGAGTAATTTATGGGCTAATTTTCATTTTTGGGTGAACTAACCCTTTAAGCATGCATGACTTGTTTCTAGCATTAAGGATATTTTCAGAGAGAAAATTTGACAAGCATATTTGAAGTTTAATATATAGCTATAAATATGTGATTGTTTAGTTTAGTTAGAAATCTTAGCCTCAAAAGAAGACTTTATGTAAATCTGGAAAATGTCTAAATTACAGAGCCCCACACATGACATGCAGAAAAATACACTGTATCATTCTCACGAGTCGCATGCACATTTTATTCTTTCGTTCCTTCATTTTAGTTCAATCGTGGCCATGTTTTATGTACTATATTGTCAGGAATTTTTTTTCAGTTTTTTTTAATGAACTGATATATGCAGCTGCGCAGAACTGTGGAACTGGCTGGACAAGGTGAGGAAACATGCTCCAAACCTAGTGACCTGCCTTGCTGTCTGCTGCCTTCATTATATTACGACTGCGACTAAGCGTCGAACTGCAACAGTCAGATCCGTACTCCTCTGAAAAAATGAGAGCACTTGGACCAAAATTAAAAAACCCTGTCTGTGGCCACAGCGGGCAAAAATCTCATTGTGGTTAACTTTAGTTGTGATGGGATCTCCGTTTGTGAAAAATAAGTGCACTTATCTGTACTACTATGTACTTATTATAGTAATTACAATAACTAGGTAATAACTAGGTACTAACCTACCCCTGAACCTAACCCTACCTCATGTACTTACCTTATATTACCAGTGCTTTCTTACACTATAAGTGCACTCACTGTAAGTACATGGAAGTACACGTACTGTAAAATAAAGTGCAACCGGATATTTTTTTTAAAAACTATATTTGCAAATAATATAATAGTAATAATGAAATAAAAGGCCACTTTTAACACAGACACTTTCATTACTGTTTCTTCGCATATTTAAGTACACTTTAAAAAAGTGCACTTTGTAAAAATGTCAAATTATTACAAAAGTTTTACTTCAAAGTACACTGTAAATCATTTTGATAATCTTTTGTAATGTTTAAAGTACACTTATATGATGTGTGACTAACATACTAAAGCACATATAAAGTACTTTGATATTAAGTAAATATATTTTAAATGTGTTAAATTGCATGTTTACCATTTGTAATGTGTAATTACAAATATATTTAAATACATGACATACAAGTTTCAATAGAAACGACGTTAGAGAATATTTTAGTTTATCATAAAAGCTTGTCTGTACATTCGGCAGTACTTTCGAAGACAATACAAGTAATTATAAAGAAGTACTGAAGTCCTACTTAAGTGGGTCGAAATCACTCTAAAGTTCAGCTAATTGCATTTAATAAAAATTTTAACTATAATACATTTTCACTGAATTGTCATTAACATGCAGTTACGTTTCTGAAAATGTTACATTCAGCTCAAGCATAAGTATATTCTTTTAAATTATTATTATTTTCATAATAAGCTCTCTTTTTAAAATTATGATAAAGTGCACTTCTTGGATATTTTTCAGTAATATTTTTCACAATAAGTGCAGCAAACAGCAGATTGAAGTCAAACCATACGGCCGAGATGCTCTCTGTATTGTAGAAATGTGCCATTCGCAATCAATCAGGATTAATTTATTAAATGTCTGATAATAGGAGATTACTGAGATGAAGCCAGTATATTGGTCTGGTTATGTGACCTTAAAACTGTGGTTCCAATGAGCAGCGCAGCTCCATGTAAATAAACACAGGTTTTAGGCTATACTCATAGGAGTGTAGGATTTTTAGAAGTACTATTCATATATGTAATTAAAATATAATTTTTTAATGAGGAAAAACGAATAAAGATACTTAAAATGCTGTTTAATTAGGTAGCTCAGGAGGCTTTGAAATGGAATGTTTATGATAATCGTGCATTTAAATTGAACTTTTATATTTTCAGCATTCGACGATGCATTTGCTGAGTTTCAAAGACTCAAGTAAGCACCAAAAATGATTTGTGATTTGTGACAGATACTATTCAGCTCGAGCGGTTGAATAACTAATGATACGATCTTTTCCCATCTTCAATTTTGTTTTCCTCAGGGCTGCAGCTATTGCAGAGAGAAGTGAGTAGATGAAGGCAGAAATACATGCTTAAGCCTTCGCTGCGTTTGTATCTTCTGCAGATGATATGAGTGTACTGGAAATCGTCTAATTCTTGTGTTTTTTATAGATCGTGCGCGTGTGGCAGGTGGTCTGCCTGATGTTGTGACCATCCAAGAGGGCAAGGTAGTGTACATGCTTCTCTGTATGGCTTGAAAAGACAAAAATGACACAAAAATAACAAAACTGTCTCTTCGCTCCTCTCTCGTAGTGTCTGAACCTGACCTGCAATATCTGGGGCGAACCCGTACCCGAGGTCACCTGGCTAAAGAATGAGCGCGAGATGGTTTCCAACGATCACTACATTCTGAAGTTCGAGTCGGGCAAGTTTGCCAGTTTCACCATCACCAGCATCAATACGTCTGACTCCGGCAAGTACAGCATCCTGGTAAAGAACAAGTACGGCACGGAGAGCGGCGACTTCACCGTAAGTGTCTTCATCCCAGACGAGGAACCCGGCAAGAAAAAATAAAACCAACCAAACAGAAAAAAATAAACATTATGATTATGCAAAATTAAGTTACAAAAAAAAAAAATTCTGCAAGATTTAGATGACACGCTGACAGTAATGCCCTATTTACATTGACAATCTGAAGCTACACTACTGGTCGAAAGTTGGGAATAATTACGATTTTTTTTCATGTTTTTGAAAAAAGAATCTTCTGCTCACCGAGGCTGCATTTATACAGCAAAAAAGCAAAATATTTGTATCATTTAAAATAACACTTTTCAATTTAAATACATTTTAAAATGTAATTTATACTTGTGATGCAACGCTGAATTTTCAGCAGCATTACTCCAGTCTTCAGTGTCACATGATCCTTTAGAAATCATTCTAATAAAATAATTTTACTGTATTTTTATTTTTTTTTATTTTTATGCAGCCTTGATGAGCATGAGCGAATTTTAAAAAACATTTATTAAAAAAATCATAATTATTGCAAACGTTTGACCAATAGACCATGGTGCTAATATCTTGGTTGCAGATTGAAAAGAGTTGGTCCAAGTTTTAATCCATCAATGTCAATGTAGTGCTATAATTGGAAACAAATCTTTTTCTGTATAGAGCTTGCATTGCTTACTTGACCATTTTCTCCATCGTGGTGTTAGTAAAATAGTTTAAAGCTCAGATTAGAGAATGAATGCAGTTTGACTCCAGGTTGTGTTGAGAGTGTGTAGTTTTACTGAGAAGAAACAGGTGCACTGAAGTGCATGAAAGATTGACACTTTTGAATTGAGGGACAAATGGACGCTCCATTTCTGTATAGCTTATCATTACTCAGTCCTGAAAAGCAGGGGCTTAGATTCACAAGTAAACATCAAATAGTCCATATTACAATCAATGCTGTAAAGAAATCTTTAAATGGTGTTTAAATGAATCCATGCCCCTGCTTTAAGCTTTCTGCGGGTTCTCTATAATGTTTCACATTTCTAATGAATCACTGCATGCACGATCCCATTGTGACAGCAGTTATGACTTCACTTCCTCTTTGACCTCACAGATAATGATGACTTCCTCTGTTATTTCCAATAAATGGAGCACATATTCTCTCGACTCCCTCCTCTGTGTGTCCCTTGTTTTTGTCTCCACACTTTCCTCATCGTGCACATCCCTCCTTCCTGAATTCTGCATCTGAGACCGCAGATGCCCCGTCGTCTGCAACCAACCTGAACACCGTCTCTAACTTTACCCTCAACTTCAGATTTAACATGCACACTCTCACAAAACAGTTCATAAATAGTTTTTCATGACCCAATCAAAAGTTCAGAAGAAATGGTAAATATGCACCATTTTAATGCAGTATTGGAACAATACTACATGCTTTATTTTAAGGTGTCCTTATTGCAGTGTAGTTATATATTTAAGTAACAACAACAACATGTGATTACTATATGGTTAGGGTTTGGTTTAGGCTTAGTTGCATGTAATTATGTATAATTTACTCTTATTAATATAGTAAGTACATGCAACATGCAACAAGGACACTGAAAAATAAAGCGTTTCCTTATTTTCATTAACAACCTGTGCTGGATGCACACCGAATTAAATCCAGACTGGAGAAGGTCTAGCAAAAATATATTTTATTCATATATTATTTATATTAACTACATAGTGCAAAAAGTGCACAGTGCAAGTGAATTAAAAACTAAAACAATTCATTTGCACAATGACCTTCTCCAGTCTGGATTTAATTCAGTGTGCAGCCAGCGATCTCTTTGTTTGCATTGACTTTTTTTTTTGGCTTTACGCACCTGAAGCAAACTGATTTTTACTCGGAGAGCAAAAATCTCTTCTAGCACATTAACAAACTGTAGAAATTGTGCCACATTGAAAAGCAAAAGTCAAAAGAGTTTTTTTTTTTTTAGTGCTGATGAGCTTGAAAAACAACAGAGGGGTTTAATTCCAAATAATAAAATGATACATTTATGCCATAATGAAAAACAATCACACCTTGATTTGTTTATTGGTGCATCTCTAAATTCAAGTCATGAAAAACAAATTGGTAAGCGTACGTTTACTAGTGTAAAAATGCAAAACATTAGCAACTAACACTATTATATTCAGTATTCACACAACTGTCAAAACAAAAATTACTGCACAGAAATAGGGGTAGATTTTTGTTCCTGTGGCTCAGTGGTAGAGCATTGCGTTCAGCATTGCAAGGTTGTGGGTTCAATTCCCAGGGAACACACATACTGGTAAAAAATGTATAGCCTGAATGCACTGTAAGTTGCTTTGGATAAAAGCGTCTGCTAAATGCATAAATTATCATTATTATTCATTAAATTATAATTCATTATTATTTGCATTATGCAATGCATTTTATCAACTTTCTGTATGCATGTACTTTTGGTCAGAGACACACAAGAATACAAGATCAACTCGCGTCACCTCAATACCTTGCCAATTTTCACACTCTCATTGTATAATGAATTATGTATAGTGTCCAAATCCAGATAAAGAAGAAATCCAGATTAATATGAGAACTGCGTTTGTACGTCCACGTAACTTGTGCCTCTTGCTCTTGCCAGTTGAATGTGATCGAAAACATGGGTGATTTTGGTGTGGTGTCATATCTGGCCGACGCAGATGGAAACGTGATTGTTGGACCTACAACTCCTGAACCCACGTGTCGTCCAACAACACCTTCAACCAGATCAGTTCCCACAACACCCAGCCCAGTTACCCCAACTCTAACATCAACCCCGGCTAATACAAACCCCCAAAATAAAACTAGAGCTACCCCGACCCCCAAAAATCAAACCCCAAGTACAGAACGTTCCTCAACCCCACCTGCTCAGATCCCCAAAAACCAATCCCAAGGTTCCCCGACCCCTCAAAATCAAACCTCAGATACGCTGATCCTCTCAACCTCAAACACATCCACTCCCACATCAGGCGAGAAATCAGCCAATACATCAATGGATAATGAGAAGATAACAGCGATGCTGAAAGGTGAGAAATGGTGCAGGAATACACATACGCCTGCAAAATACAGACCTGAATGTGATTTACGGGTTTTGTTGTTTAATACAGATTCTGTAAATCTGGGATTATCCACTTTAGAGACGGAGCTGGTTGATGCCATGCATCTCACACATGCAACAACTTCATCAGAACCAGACGAATCTACACCAGCTCTTGAAGCCGAAAACCATGAAAATGTGTGTGAAAAGAAAGATGATTAAAAATGCTTGAGGACACTGCTGAACTGTATTTATATGCTTTAGAACTAGGTATAGGACATGAACCATGTTAGTTATGGTTTTCGAGATTTATTTGATGAGTGTGTCATTTCAAATGCTTGTTCACCAGTGCTTTAGAAAAGTTTGATGGGAGGTAAAATTATATTTCAAGGCTTTTGTGTTGTCTCTGAAATATGGAAGAGGATTAGAGCCAAGCAGTAATAAAACCATCTCGAGAAGTCATTATAATGCGGTATTAAACTTGCAGTCTTTTGAGAAAAAAAGTCGAAATAAAATGATGAAAATAAACAACATTTCGAGAATAAAGTCATTGCGTTTCGAGAAAAAAAATAAAACGGTAAATTTCGAGGGAAAAAGTCAAAATAAAATGTTGAGAATAAACTCAAAATTTCGAGAATAAAGTCTTTGCGTTTCGAAAGAGAAAAAAGCAATACATTTTGAGTAAAAAAAGTCAAAATAAAATGTTGAGAATAAACTGTTTATGCACAACAATACTGAGGTGCAAATAGTATCTGTCACTATTTATAAGTATAAATAGCATCTAATTCAGTGGCGTCCTACATGAATTAATCCACCTCTTAATACCATCATAATGATGCCACGGCTATAGAAACCATAAATATTACACAGAAATGCAGTATAACAGGGCATTGCATCACAGACCGGTATCTCATGTAGCGAGAATGAATGCTATTACTAAGTTGTGCTGCATAACGCTCATCTATAGCTGAAGCATTAACCTAACAAAAAGACACAAATATAGTCCACCTGATGTTCTTACAGACATTTATTAACTCAAACGTATTTATACCTTATAGATAACATTGGTATAAAACTTAAACCTGGCTTTATATCTTGCAAATAACAGCAGAATATAACGCATAAAGCAATAAAAAATTCAAAAAAGTAAAAAATGAAATTTAACCTACCATACTAGTGGTTTTTCATCTTCACGAGTCTTTCACAGAGCCGGTGCCGAGGAGGTGTGTCTTTGATTTTCACAGTCATTTAGTAAGTTACTTATTTAGATTTACAGTGAATGAATATTTTTCAGAATGCACTGAAAATCGACAATAACGCACTGTACACAACATATACAGTAAGAAACCTTTGAAACAGTAATAATACTGTGAAAACTACAATGATTTACAGTGATGCTGTTTGCTAGCTTTGACTAGTACGCTGTATGACCATCCAATCAAAAGATGAGAAAATGCTGACGTTATCGTAAGCCTGCCCTAGATGGCCCTGGTGTTGCCAACTCGAAATCTGATTGGTTAAAGCAACGGTTTCATTGCCATTGGTTTTAAGCTACAGACGCCTGCACTGTTGATTCTGAAGGGCTTATTAAGCAGATTTCTTTGACCCTGGCAACACGATTGCTGAAATATGATTGGATAAAAGCTCTAATGAAAATATACACTACTGAAAGCAGCGTAACCAAGAGAAAAGCTATGAAATGAAGACAATAGACTATAATTTAATACACATTCATGGAAAAATTAGAATTATAATGACTTTAACCTCAAGATGGTTTCATTTGTTTTATTATTCCTTGGCCCTAAACGCAAAGTCTCTCGGGGAGCTCAAAAGTTTTTACAGAGCCCCTAAAAGAACATGGTGGTGGAAAAAAATATGGGATGGGAGGAAAAATATTTTTCAAAGCTTTGGCGTTCTCTTCCGAAACGTTTGCGTTCCCTGGATAAACTTTGCGTTCGCTCGCAAAAACTCTTGCATTTTCTCCACCATAGAAAACTCTTAACATGGCTGGATGAAG